CTTTTTTTTTTTTTTTTTTTTTTTTTTTAATGCCCACATATTGCGGCGTGGGACCCTTGTACCCCCAACGCGCGCTTAATGTTTCTAAATATACCAAAAAAAAAATATTCGAACGTGAATTTCACGTACCGTCACACCCCAATTGAACATGCATGTTTCTTGTTTATTGTTTGTTTGTTTTTTTTTTACCCTCGTGACAACTCACTTGCATGCCCTCGCGCCCATCCTGTAGGATGGTGGACGTGGGTGGTCAGCGGTCAGAAAGGAGGAAGTGGATCCACTGCTTTGAGAACGTCACTTCCATCATGTTCCTGGTGGCGCTGAGCGAGTACGACCAGGTCCTGGTGGAGTCCGACAACGAGGTCAGTGCTCGCACCCTTCCCAAAACTCGTGTTCCTTCAAATTTAGACAACACAGTGGTTGATCGTAAACGACAACAACGTTGTTTTTTTTTTGCCCGTCAGAACCGTATGGAAGAGAGTAAAGCTCTGTTCAGGACGATCATTACCTACCCGTGGTTCCAAAATTCCTCCGTCATCCTCTTCCTGAACAAGAAGGACCTGTTAGAGGAGAAGATCTCCTACTCGCACTTGGTGGACTACTTCCCGGAGTTTGACGGTAAGGTTGGGAATTCGACAAAACTGGCCTATTCAATACAGTGGTACCTCGAGTTACGAACGTCTCCTCATATGAAATTTTCAAGTTACGAAATGCCTCAACAAGAAAAAAAACGCCTCTTGTTCGGTCAGAAATTTCAAGATACAAAAGGTAAAAATACAGCATGGGCTGCTACTCGCAGCTCCCAGTTTCCTGAACGCAACATACTTATAGCTGCTCTGCCATTGGCTATTACCAGGAGTATCATCCTGGCATCCCATTGGCTAAGAGGGACCTCTACCGTATGTGTCTATGTGTGGAGATCGATAAATAGAGATTTTTTTTGGATGATTGTCAAGAAGAATACATGGGAAGAGGACTTTGAAAAAAAATAAGCGCATATTCAATCGCGTTTACCGGCGTGCGTGCATGCGTGCGTGTATTTATGTTTCGAAACCATTCAGCCCTACTGTCCTTGCGTGCCCTCCTCCAGGCCCGCAGAGGGACGCGCAGGCGGCGCGGGAGTTCATCCTCAAGATGTTTGTGGACTTAAACCCCGACAGCGACAAGATCATCTACTCCCACTTCACGTGCGCCACGGACACTGAGAACATCCGCTTTGTGTTTGCCGCCGTCAAGGACACCATCCTACAGCTCAATCTCAAAGAGTACAACCTGGTGTGAGCCCCCCTCCGCCCCCAACTCTCAAGCCCACTTCACTATCCTTTTGCACAACCTCCTTTTTCGAGTGCGCTCGACTTTTAATGCAACACACACACACTCCCCTTTTTTGTCTGGCACATTCAAAGATCCCCTGCAAAACAAAACGACAGCAAAAAGAAAACCCCTTCCCTCCCTCGCGCATCTTCCTGCTTTTTCTGGGCAGCTTGTGTCAGAGAAACCGCTGCCTCAACGGGCCTGGCACATCCGACTCTTGAGACAGTGACCGGAAGGGACGCCGGGGGACGAACGCTCCACAACGGGATTTTGTCTCCACCTCCACATCGATGAATGTACCCACCAGTGTGTGAGAAGTGCCATTGTGGGGTGCAGGGGCAAAAAGCAAGAGAACCTCTTAACAGTGTAAATATACAGTATATTATATGTCAGGGGTGTCAAACGCATTGTAATTCAACGGGGCCTTACAGCCTAATTTGATGTCAAGGGTGACAGACCAGCAAAGTCGTAACATAATTAAGAGTAAGGCCAGATTCCTTCTGAAAAAAAAAATCTCTCTGATCCCAATGATTTTTTATAAAAGGCACAAAACTTTTAAGTCACTTTTATTTGGAACAAAATTGTATTGCACTTGAAATGAAGTTATGATGATCTGGGAATTATTGTCAGGTCATTTTCTACATGAGCATCATCACTTTTTGTTTTTTTTTTTTTCTTTACAATTCATCCTGCAGGCCGTATTGAAACGCTCTAGCGGACCGCTTGTTGGTCCCAATGTTTGACACCCCTGGTATATGGACAGACATTTAAGTCAAACCGTGTGAGAAGGACAAAAAATGGGTCCAAATCTGGTTGATTGCTGCTGGCTTTTCAACCATTTTTCACAGAATCTGCCACTAACTACTACAATTTATCAAATTTCAACTTAAAGTAAATCCGCATTTTTTTAAAAATTGAGATTTGTGGGGAGCCGGGTGGGGGGTTGAATTAATTTAATTTTAGATTGAAATGCACAGCTTCCGTCCTCCTGGATTCACAGGGACAATCGTGACCTACTTTTTTATTTTTTTGTAACCCCCCCACAGCCATCAACCAGACGTGTCCATCGATTTTCCCCCCACCCGCCGTTTCGCGCCATGCCGTCCAATCAGACGCTGCCTAACGCTATTGCTCACTCATTATTATATATCAGGATGTGCTTCTGTTTACTTTTGTTTGATTTTTTTTTCTTCTTACTGAATTCTCACTTTGTTTTAAAAATGAAACAAAAAAAAAAGCGATGGTTTGCTGTTGTTGACTGGTGTGAGGGGGGGGGGCGGAATGACAAACCTTCCTTGACCTCTGCAATTAAGTGTGTTGTATGTGTATATTTGTTTGTAAATACATATACACACCAGCCATGTACAAAATGCTCTGTGGTACACCATCTTTGGCATAAAAATGACGACAGAAAAAAAAACACAAAAAGGTTAGCATAAAGTTTTTTTGGGGGGGGCGTTCCTCTATTAATAGTATTGATACTGTGATAATGGCTTTTGTTGATTCTAAAAGGAGACGTCACAGAGCTGAGTGGTCAATTAGCAGTCATATAAATACGTGATGATTTTAAGAGTAATTTTTTTATTTATCTAATTTATGGACCAGATTTGAAGGTGTTGATAATTTCGACTGCCTTTTTGTCCGTGTTATTAGGCTTTCTCTTTGGTTTTCCTACGACGGAGCCCTACCTGTGTCTGAACTGCTGTTTAAAAAAGAAAAAAAAAGGAATATGTGGTATTACAAGGACTTTTCAGCGTCTACTTTGTTTTCGGGGACGATTTCCATTTGTTGTCATTTACCATTTTCTAAGGAGCCCTCATGTTTAATTTAGTTGAGGGGGTGAAAAGTGTGTTTGCTTTAGGTTATACATTTTGAGACAGCGCTGTAATGCTTACCTACCTAAAAAAAACGAAATTACATTTCAAACGGTGTTTTGGATTGGTTAGCTCTGTGTTTTGTTTTGTTGCATTTTTTTCAGGTTTGCTTTGCTGGTGCCAATGAAGTACTAATGAACTTTTTTCAGGTGATTTATTAATCCCTCATTGTCATGAAGGGCTACCATAGTACATGCAGAAATGGAGAAGTGACTTTTTTCCCCCCCTGCCCCTTTTTCTTTTCTACACAACACTGTTCTTGAGTAAGAATCGTCTGGTCTTCTGCGGTGTTAGCCACGACTAGAACCTCATGCGGTAGATCTATCTATTACACACACAAAAACAAACAAAAAAAAAAAAATGCGACAGCCGCAATAAGTATTTGCATGTCAGCCAATTGCCAACGAGAAGCTGTGTGGGCTAGAACACTTAAAATGTGTCCGTTAAACACAACTAAAGTATTTTTGTGTGGTCGGCTAATGTTGGGAAATGATCTACGTATTCAACTCACTGCTTGTCATGCGTTTTGTAGTTTATTAATGAACAATTCTGATCTTATTGTTTTATTATTTAGCTTTTGATGATTTTTTTTTTTTAATTCTGTTTATCCACACATTTGAAATACAATGGAGGGAAATCCTCTTAAGATCTGCGCCCCCCCCCCCCACACACACACACACACACACACACTCCAAAGGCCTTGAACGCACCACCGTAAACATAAAATTTATTGGCCTCTTGTCGTCACTTAAACCTTATTTATGTTCCAGGTCTGTGCAAAGTGCAGTTCGTGGACCATATACGACCCAATGGAGCATTTCATGTGGCCCACCATGAATTTCTGGATTTTATTTCTTTAAACATCCAAATGTTTAATAGGCAATTTATTTTTCACCTATGTCCCCTGAAGGACTCTCATATGGTTCAACACCCATGCCCTTATAACTGTAACAATTAGGTGCAATTTATAACAACTAGCTTGAAAAAATAAAAAGCGGTTCATTATAGGTGGTTTGTGGAGTTCCCACTAGCGATTGCTCTTCAATGTTTGATATAAACTACATGGAACCAAAGGCTGCCGTGATGTGCGCAGGTCGAGAATCAATCGCCGACGTGTTAAGAAAAAAAAATGTAGGCTCTGAGGAGGGAGTACTCACCTGTTGTGTGGTAAAGTTTAAAGAAAATAAAATGAGAGTTTTAAGTAGGTTTTCTTTATTACATTTCTTTCCCTTGGCTTAAACGGTGTTTTCAATTGATCGTGACGTTTGCGCAGTAATCCAGCGAGTCTTGCAGCCAAAATACCCAACAACCGAGTATTTGAAACCTGCCCAAAAATGTTTATAACTGCTTATATGAAAACTTTAAAAGGTAAATATATCCGGGGTTTCTTTTTTCAACATAACCTTAAAAATAGTTTACAGAAATATGAACGACATACCCTGAGCCACCCCCCACCCACTCCCCAAGAGAACAGACAGAAAGAGTACAAAAAAAAAATCCACTTCACAAAGCAGTGAAGAGGTGACAATCCCATTTTTGTGCAGATGGTACGTTAAAATAAAGCAATTACAAATACGTTTACTTGTTTTTTTTTTTAATTGCCAAAAAGACTGCCATTTGTTTTGTTTCACACTATATACGTCGCCAGCTTCTGCTTGAGCCAATGTTAAGTGCACAAAATATCTGTTAATTGCGTGTGGGGTGTAAAAATTGACTGACATTTATATATATATATAAACCATGTATGATCTGAAAAGAGGGACAGTGTTTGCATGACACTTCAATTTGTTCACTTGATGTGTTTATTTTCCTCACTAAAACGACAACTATTCTTTTATGTGTTGCCTTGATGCTCTTGTTACTTTGTATTTTCAGAAATGACCAGAACACTATTGTTGATATGATTTTAAGACCACTTCCCATCCTCGCTTCCTCTTCAAGGCTCGTAGAGTGGTGTGTGTGTAAGGGGTGTGTATGCGCGCGCGCGTTTGTGTATGGATGTATGCATCTATATTTATCTCTATCTATCTGTAGAGATATAGATATATGTGGTATGAGCACGCCAGGCTCGCAAAGTGCCAACACACCACTGCCAACCGGAGATGCCCCCTCCCCGTGTACCCCACCCCACTCACCCCCACCCACATTCTCTTTTTAAACGATAAAACACCAGAGACTAAAAAGGATAGATGGTTAAGTGGGTAAAGATTATATTCTATAAGAACATTTTAAAGGATAATCTGCTGTTTGTTTGTTCAAAATAAGAAACTGTAATAATAATTATTGCATGTGCTGTTTTTTGCAAGTGAGGGGCTTTGGATGTATTGACTGAAAGCCTTTTTGGCTGCAGTTGGCCGGTTATCGATTTACATAACTCTTTGCCATATTTTTTAATGTCTTTTCATGCGTTTGTTTTGTTTTTCTCAACCACTGTTGCCTGATCCTCATTCAAACATGATGTATGATCATTTTTCGCCGCCTTCTAAAGAAACATAATGACAAGGTTATCTGTTTTAAACACTGAAATAAATTTGTTCCTATACTTGCTGATCATGTGTGCCGCTGTTTTTCTTTTTTTTTTTTAATAATACATCACAATATAGATTAGAAAATTCCCAGAGTTCAAGAACAAAAACGTGCTGCCTCAATCAACCATGGACGTTTCCAGCCCGTTTTGGTGCACCCCTGAAATAATTCCCCAGACCCTCCGCCTCTCCCTCCCCCAAAAAAGAGACCATTTGTTCATTTTCCCCAACGGATTTGCACACCTTCGACAACTCATTGCCTTGCTAATACTCTTATGATTACCAGTCCTCATTGTTGCTGAATTAAATTTTAGCCCACTCTTTATGTTGTTCGGTAAGAACTGGCTCACAATTTGTTTCTCGGAAAGGTCTCAGGTGGTCGGAGACGGGACCACTCTCCTCTGTTTGAATTGGAATGGCAGAAGCGAGCTCTTATCCATCCATCCGTTATCAGATAACGGTTATCTGAACTGCTTCGCCTCACGAGGGTCGCTGGTGTGCTGGAGCCTATCCCAGCTGTTTTCGGGTCCACCCTGAACTAGTTGGCAGCCAAATGCAGGGCAGACATATAGACAAACAGGCCATTTACTTGCAAACAGTGAAGATGGTTCTTTGTGAGGCTGTCAATACTCCAAACGGGGATCCTTGCCCTAAACATGCGATATACATAGTGTTTTCAGCGAAAATATAACAAAGGTTGTCTGTAATAGCGGCAACGTAAGATGGCGGCCCACTGACTTCACCCGCGACGGGGCTATTGATACTCCATTGATATTTGCGTCTGGGGTTGGCTTTCAGTTCACCTCTTCACCACAGGGGCGCTGCCTGGTTTAGAAGCCGGTGGCGCTACGGTCCCTCTCTCCTTCTCTGCTCTGCTCCAGAGGAGGAAACACCACAGAAGAAGACTTGGATGCAGGAGAGTCGCGGGCTCATGTGTCAACATATCTGGTCGAGCTTTCCCTTAGGGAGGCGTAACGTTATTAGGGAAAAAAATCACATTCCCTCGTAAAGCCTTTAAAAAAATCGGCCTTTAACCTTATAGTCGCGTCTTTTGTCGCAAAGACGAGCAAAAGACGGTGTCGGCGAGTGTGAGTGATTTTGACGCGAGGCGAAGGTTCTCAAACGATGACGGGGTACAAAGTACGAATAGCAATCATTTAAAATCCCATATCCGGGAACGCGTTCGCTTTAGCCGGATAGCCAGCTCGCTCTGAGCTCGACACGACGGAGACTCCTCGGCGAGCGACGCTGCTGCTTGCTTGATTGGCTGCTGACATGATGTTTCCTCAATCCAGGCACTCGGTGAGTTGGTGTCCGCTTGGTGCAAACTCGTCAAAGTCCGTCAGTTGACTGCTTGGCTTTACCTTAGCCGCGCGGCTAGGCTAAGCTATGCTAACGTTAACTGACGCCTTTCTACGGAAAAAAAATGTCAGCTCCTGTTACTCCCCCCCCCCGCCCCCCACGACGCCTCGCATCTTTGCCCTTTTTTCGCCACTTGTGTCTGACTGTAATGCTAATATCCCTGCGAAGATCCCAATTGAAGCGTGTGTTGGTTCGCCAGTAATGAGTGTGAACGCGTTAGCCTAGCATAGCATCCTTCACTGTAGTGAATGTAACCAATCAGCCACCATTCAAATACAGTGGCCAGTTATTATTAGTTTGGGGGTATCTGAGAGCATTAAGACGCGTTATTCTGCACTGACAACTGATTTTTTATGACTATTTGCTACTTTTTGTCTTTTCTTGAAAGTCCACCTTCCTCAACCTATTAAAAGTATTCAGTTTGAATTCAATATGTATTGCAGAAGTACAGTATACTCTCATACTGAAAATTGTACAAATGGTTGAACAGACGCGGGGTCAAGTTCCTCCCATCGCCATCTTAATCCCCAGACATCAACCCCATTAAAGACCTGTGAAGGGAGCTAAAGAGGAGAGGACCCGGGTCACTGGATAATTTTAGAGAGATTGCACAACCATCTTGTGAAACATAGGAGCAGGTTGGGTTGTTTTGTTGTACAAAGTATCAACATCAGGGGTGCTAATAATTGTGGCACATATGATTTGATGTAAAATAAATATTTGTATTGTGTTTTTTTTCCCTCCAATGAATAAATGTACTTGAATTAAAGGTTAGATTTTCCACTTTTTAAAAATGTTAGTCCTTTATTAGAGAGAAAAAAAAAGAATTTATTTAGGTGCTCAAGAACACAGCTTAACCACGGCTGTCAATTGGGGTGGGAGGGTAGTGTCTTTTTTTTTTAATGATTATTATTTTTTTTGCTTTCCCCTGTAATGTTGTCACTTCTACAGCAAAAAAAAGTACAATTTCGTTTTCACAAAATTAAAACTTCTTTTTGTAAACTTAGCAATTTTGGTTGGAAGGAATACTTTAGTAAATTGTTGCTTTTTTTTTTGTCACCTAAAAATAATTGTCTTATATTTTTGTACCTATCTATTTGTTGGCAAAGCGACCTTTTATCCAACTGGCAAATTGGATTGTTTTCGAGGTGTCAAAGTTCATCGATTAATCGACAGCTGATCAGTTGTTGAATAAATCAACCACTATTTTAATGACCAAGTCTTCGTTCGTTTGTTTAACTTGAATTGTCCAAATCCTCTCATCAACAGTAATTATTCTCAGATTTCTGTAGTCCTTGTATAATAATCACTCTCGTGAGCTATTGCTTAATTGTTTTTTTTTTCTAAATAACAAAGCAATACCAAATAAACAACAGTAATTGATTATTTAACCACTAATGTTTGTCATACACTTTGAAGCAAAATAAATTCTTTACTGAACAATCGAGAGACTAATCGATTGTAACGATATT